ATGTATTAATATTACTACTTTTATTACAATGTTATATTTTAATGTGTATTTATTTTTATTCTTTTTATATTTATTCTTTTTAAACAAATTTTTAAATAAATAAGTAAATAAATAAATATATTATTATAATATTTTGTAAATTTCATGGGTATTTATTTCCACAAATTAAAGACAATGAATAAAAATAAAATTATAAATAAATAATTTTAAATAAATAAATAAATTTAGAATCATTTATATAAATAAATACATTTATTTAGAATCATTCACCCATATTCATAATGCGGAGCCTTCATGAATAAACACTTCAAACAACTAGGCTAGCTCATATAATACAGGCAGTGAAACCCTTATGCATATCAAAGAGCTAGGGCCAGCCACTGTTTTGCGCACGCGCACAGCATATTCAGTATTACGTTGAGCGTCCATGAGAAACTGTGTTGAGCCGCTGGATCAGTAGCACGACATGTCAGAGAAGAAACAAACAGTGGATTTGGGGCTGTTGGAGGAGGATGATGAATTTGAAGAATTTCCAGCAGAGGGTGAGTGAACTGAAAATGATTGCTGTTTTGAGTAGAAATGCGCTCTTTAGTCAGTTTACGGGTAAATAAACACAAACAACACCACAGTGACTCAGCTAGCACTGCTAAGCTAACCGACAAAACATTCTTCACTTTATACAATAAATGGTTGGTTTGTCGCGTTTGAAAAGAAAAGATATGAATGTAACATGCATTATTTCTTAAAAAGTATTTCAGCGCTCCTTGGTCCACAGACGTAAAGAAATAACAATATTACTGAGCATTATTAGCAGTTAGCATTTTTAGCACCTTAAAACCTATTGTAGTTGTATATTGTTTACAGTAATTATTTCATATTTGCTCTGTAATTTCTAATCAAGAATAACTATTGGACGTATAGAATGAAGTTTATGACCTTTTTTTTAATTAATCTTGGGTAAAATAAAGAGAAACTAATAGCTGCACGGTGTGTGTGGAGCTGGTGCTGGATCCAGGCCCATGTAAATCATCAGCCTCATTAAACTGTTGTGTCATTCCCAGACTGGACGGGCCTGGATGAAGATGAGGACGCTCATGTTTGGGAAGATAACTGGGATGATGACAACGTAGAGGATGAATTTTCTAATCAGCTGAGGTAGGTTTCATATGCTGCGTTTGTGTGATTATGCATATGAAGTGGGGAGGACCTTGTGGCACTTTTTAATTGTTGATAGTTAAATACTAAAAATATGGATTGTACTAGCCTAGTCTAAATTCACGAAGAATGAATCCTGTTAGACATACATATTACAGTGTATTGTCCTAGTGGCTGTTGCCAGAATCTTCCGGAATCCCTGTGAAACCCACATTTTTTCTAAAGAATTTTGTGTGGTTAAACTCATTTAGAAGAAAACAGTCCCCAAGGGATCTAGTTCAATAGCTAACCAACACTCATGGTGGCCTCAAACCACATTTATGAACTTTCCTAGGTGTGAGAACCTGACTGCAGAAAATACAGCCATTTAATATTCTTGTATTTTAAGTTAAAAAAGGTAAATGGGTAGATGCATTAATTTCTATTTTCTGAAGCCTTAAAGCTATAAATCTATTGATATCGCTCATGTAATAGTTTTGTTTTCCAGCACTGGAAATGGCTGGGCTAGTAAACGTGTGGTAAAGAGACTCAAGGGGGAGAGACTCAAGATATTTGGTCGAAAGTGTTTTCTAATTGGAAACCAATTAGAAACTTTAAAAAAATAATAATAAGAGAATGTTATAATTAGGGTTATTAAACTTAACTAAAAACATATTTTATTTCAGCTAGTTGACAAGGCAACAGTACTCATTTTTCATTTAGTTTATCTTGATGTACTAAAATAACTAAACCTGAACTAACTAATAACTAAAACTGAAGTAAACGTCAAAAATGTATATATAGACATTTTAAAAACTAAAACTTATAAAAATGGCAAACACAAAATTACTAAAATTTTAACATGAAAATGAAAACTGAAAAAAAAACCTAATTCAAAATATGAACAAAAACTAAAATAGTATCTCTGTAATACTATAATATGGATATTATTGAACTTATTGATATTAATAGTACTACAAATGTTTTTAATATTATGAAAATGCAATTACTTTTACAAATTTAATACTTTTTGTATTTGTTTTGTGAGTTATTGCATTTTTTAGCCCTACCTTTTTCCCATCTTTTAGAGCGGAGCTTGAAAAACACGGATACAAGATGGAAACCTCTTAACATTGGACTACTTGAGCTGAAAATGGATTTTTCCACATTTGAATATTGTCAGCTTGTGCTGTCAATAGAAAATGTGACTTCTCTTATTACTTCTGTAAGAAGCCCTGCCTTGTAAAATGGGTCAGTTGAAACTGATATCAATGTTTTTCCCCCCTCCCTTACATACAAGTTGTGTTAATAATTGTGATAATAAAGAATTGTTTTCCCTATTCTGTTTGATGTTTATATATATATATATATATATATA